CAGCCCCTTCCCAGCCCCACGCCAACGCCGGGGGGAGACAAAGGCGGGAGCTGCAGCTGGCGGGGGGCTGCGAAGGGGCTGCCGGAGGAACGGCGCCCCTGCCTGCCGGCTGCTTCCCCCGCGGGATCTGGGGCCAGGCACGGGGGCCCTGGGCTCAGCCACTGCCCAGGAGAGCCCTGGGGAGGTGTTTGCTCTGCCCGCAGCTTCGTCTCCATGCAGTTTTCCTGAGCTCGGGGTCTCACGTCTGAAAACTTCGGCGCTTTCTCCGATCTGCACCTGTATCTAAACACAAGCTCTGATCAACAGGGCCGTTTCAGAATGAAACCTCTCTTATCACTCATGTAAAATTATCTGGGTTTGTATGAGGTGACCAATATTAAATATTCCAACCTGTAAAGGAAATCAAATATACCTATTTCTAACATGTTTCTCTGTGTACAGAAAACAGGCAACTTCGGTTGTTTATGATCATGCCTGCTTTTTGGCCTTCGTCCATGGAAAATCTCTGCTCATTTCTTACTTCTGCATCTTTTCCCTTCTGGCATCTCCTTGTCCCATCGCATTCCCTCGGTTTCTAGTTTTTATATGTTCTTCATTAAACTGCCGTCCACGTGACCGCCTTTGCCTATTGCTTGTCTTGGCCTATTCAGGAGAAAAAGGCCTATGAAAATGAGCCAAGCTTGGATGATGGTCCCGTATCTCTAGGGGGTGGGATGCTGCCAACCGCTTCCTGATGAAAACAGGCTGCTTTGTTCCAGAAAATGAAAGAGACCCTGGAGCCGAGCGGGCTCCCGCCTGCCCTCAGTGGCCTGCCATGCTCTGCGGCTGCCGGCGCTCCCCGGGGCAGGCGGGCTGTGTTTCATGGGGAGGGTGGGATGGGCTCCCCACCAGCCAGAATAAACCCAGAGGCACTTGAGAGCCCCGACGTCTGCTGGAAGCAGAGCCACGGGCTGGGAATGGGCAGAAAGGCCGCGTCTTCCTCCTTGTCCTTATTCAGCAATGCCTGGCGCTGAGCGGCCGTGTAGGGCTGCTGGCCTTGCCGCTTCTGGGTTGGATCATTCCCGTGCCGAGGAGGCTCCGCATGTGCGGCAAACTCTGCCCTGAGCCGGTTCCTCCAGCTCTGTCCGCCCGGGGGCTCTCTCCGGCAGCCAGCGGGACGATGGCTGTGTGCCACAGACAGCTCGTAGTGGGATGGTGACCTGGCCCAGGCTGGCGGATCCCACCTCCTTTGGTCCCGTTTTGACTCGCTGGGATCTCCTGCTGCTCTGCCCGCTCTCCTTCTGCCCCAGGACGGTTTGCTGCTCTGCATCCAAAGGTCTTCCAGCCGCCGCTTGCCCTCCTGCACGCCTGCTCCCCGGGCTCCCACCATGCCCAGCTGCCTTCTGCAGCCCGTGGGCCGTGCTTTGCTGCTCCTGGCCTCAGACCCATCCACCCACCTACCCACCCACGACCACCGGTCACCTCCTGGGGACACCCAGGAAGACTCCAGCGCCGCTGACCACAATTTCTGGAAGACCCCCAGGCAGCGAACATGGCACTTCAAGACCAGCACGAATTTACCAGCAGCGTGGGCTGGGCTGTCCCGGGTGGGGGACGGGGACGGGGACAGGGACGGGGATGCAGCGGCTGTGCCCGGCCGGGACCCCCCGCGCTCCCAGCCCCGGGAACAAAGGGCCGGCTGTGCCCCAGCCCCGCGGCACCCGCCCGGGGAAATCCGCCCCTTAAGCCGGCTCAGGCGCCGTGTCCCGGCCCCCGCCACGCCGCGGCCCGGCCCGGGCAAATGTGCTTTCTGAGCCGGAGGACGCTTTCAGAGCGGGCGGCCAGGGCCGGGGGGCGCTGCCCCGCCGCCCCACAGCGCCGGGGGCGAACCCCGTGGCCCGGGGAACCACCGGGCAGCCCCGCTGCGACGCCCGCCC